TATATATATATATATATATATATATATATACACATACATATATACTGTATATACAGTGCCTTGCGAAAGTATTCGGCCCCCTTGAACGTTTCAACGTTTTGCCACATTTCAGGCTTCAAACATAAAGATATAAAATTTTAATTTTTGTGAAGAATCAACAACAAGTGGGACACAATTGTGAAGTGGAATGAAATTTATTGGATGTGTCAAACTTTTTTAACAAATAAAAAACTGAAAAGTGTGGCGTGCAATATTATTCGGTCCCCTTGCATTAATACTTTGTAGCTCCGCCTTTTGCTGCAGTTCCAGCTGCAAGTCTCTTGGGGTTTGTCTCTGTCAGTTTTACACATGGAGACACTGAAGTTCTTGCCCATTCTTCTTTGCAAAACAGCTCGAGCTCAGTGAGGTTGGATGGAGAGCGTTTGTGAACAACAGTCTTCAGCTCTTTCCACAGATTCTCGATTGGATTCAGGTCTGGACTTTGACTTGGCCATTCCAACACCTGGATACGTTTATTTGTGAACCATTCCATTGTAGATTTGTCTTTATGTTTTGGATCATTGTCTTGTTGGAAGATAAATCTCCGTCCCAGTCTCAGGTCTCTTGCAGACTCAAACAGGTTTTCTTCCAGAATGGTCCAGTATTTGGCCCCATCCATCTTCCCATCAATTCTGACCATCTTCACTGTTCCTGCTGATGAAAAGTAGGCCCAAACCATGATGCTGCCACCACCATGTTTGACAGTGGGGATGGTGTGTTCAGGGTGATGAGCTGTGTTGCTTTTATGCCAAACATATTGTTTTGCATTGTGGCCAAACAGTTTGATTTTGGTTTCATCTGACCAGAGCACCTTCTTCCACATGTTTGGTGTGTCTCCCAGGTGCTTGTGACAAACTTTAATCAACACTTTTTATGGATATCTTTGAGAAATGTCTTTCTTCTTGCCACTCTTCCATAAAGGCCAGATTTGTGCAGTGTACGACTGATTGTTGTCCTATGGACAGACTCTCCCACCTCAGCTGTAGATCTCTGCAGTTCATCCAGAGTGATCATGGGCCTCTTGGCTGCATCTCTGATCAGTCTTCTCCTTGTTCCAGATGAAAGTTTAGAGGGACGGCCGGGTCTTGGTAGATTTGCAGTGGTCTGATACTCCTTCCATTTCAATATGATTGCTTGCACAGTGCTCCTTGGGATGTTTAAAGCTTGGGAAATGTTTTTGTATCCAAATCCGGCTTTAAACTTCTCCACAACAGTATCTCGGACCTGCCTGGTGTGTTCCTTGGTCTTCATGATGCTCTCTGCACTTTGAACAGACCCCTGAGACTATCACAGAGCAGGTGCATTTATACGGAGACTTGATTACACACAGGTGGATTCTATTTATCATCATCAGTCATTTGGGACAACACTGGATCATTCATAGATCCTCACTGAACTTCTGGAGTGAGTTTGCTGCACTCAAAGTAAAGGGGCCCAATAATATTGCACGCCCCACTTTTCAGTTTTTTATTTGTTAAAAAAGTTTGACACATCCAATAAATTTCATTCCACTTCACAATTGTGTCCCACTTGTTGTTCATTCTTCACAAAATTTTTTTTTATATATCTTTATGTTTGAAGCCTGAAATGTGGCAAAAGGTTGAAAAGTTCAAGGGGGCCGAATACTTTTGCAAGGCACTGTGTATATATATATATTCAGTATATGTATATATATATATATATATATATATATATATATATATGTAGTTGCTTTTAAGTCAACAGTGTAAATCTAACTAACTAACTAACTAACTAACTAACTAATTAGATCCTGTGTGGCCACAAGATACCATAATGTGTTGGCTTCCCATGTTAGCATTTATGCTAAGCTATCAGGCCTTCAATTAAGTCTATTTTTTAGGATCTATCCCAAAAGTCTGAACTTTGATCAGGAACTGACGTCCCACCAAATTCATTAAAATGTTCTCCAGTTAAAAGTTGAATAAATAAAATAAATAAACGTTAACATTTGCTACTTTTTTTACTTTGCTAAAGAATATGAGCAGACAACAAATTTAGGTTTTTTTTCTGTGTGTTCGTGCATTTTTATCTGTAGCAATATTTTCACAAAGAGAAGTCGTATAGTGGCGACTGATTATAAATTAAAAATGAATAGAAGTTAAAATAAATGTTTACATTTATGTGGCTACTTCAACACGTTTATATAGCTGATGTAAGCCTTCAGGGTTCTGTTGTCAGGGTTGGTCAGAAATTTTACTTCTGGTTTGTTCCAGTTGATTATTGCACTTTGGACTTTAAAAAGTCTGACAAATTGGACGCACTATATATATCGGACAATGTTAATGTTATAAGTCACCATTGCCATGATGTCTTGAAGTGCCCACAGAAAATCAACAGTTCTTTGGCGTGCACCATTTTAGAGTTAAACCAGAATTGATTAATAGCAGTAGCCACATCTTATGACTATTTTTCAACATTTTTAGCATCAAACTTACACAATGATAAATTCATAAATCAAAGCGACCAACCTATCTGAACTACACAATTCACATAAGAGCTTTAGGGCTGTGTCGTTCCTCACTTCTGGACGCAGAGTTTACCCCTGCCGTTGTATAATTCTGTCAACAAAGATCATGTTCAATTTTCTTTTCAGGCTTGAGCCTAATTTAGAGCCAAGGCTTAAAAAAATGTGAAAATTTTGATGTACAGCGCTTTGGAAAACCAGCATACTAAAACCATCATATGCAGATGATTAATGGGAGGAAAAACTGTGAAAAGCAAAGGTGCATTTTTATTAGGGCTTTTAGAAATAGGTGTTTGTCTGAAAGTCTGTTGACCTACATTAGTGCACCGGTTGCTCAACACGCTTGAACCTGAGGTTGTGAGAATTGTAAATAACACTGTCAGAGGGCATTTTTGGCAAGTGCTGACCACGAACAGCAGGTTGTAAACTTGTCACCCAAGAGGTTCGTAATTATCTGTTTTTAGATCAGTGATCAAAACAGAAAAATAAATCTTTGCGTGTTTGTGTTGGACATGACTGCAAAGTAGGATCCTGTTCGTCTCACTGTGACTGTGCCTCTTCATGTTGTTTTTGTTGTTCGCTTAAAAGTGCTATGTTTTTCCTCTTGAACAAAATCATTTATAGGAAATGCCAGCGGTGTTCCAAAGGAATTCTGTCTCCACATTCAAAACTGTTTCACTTTGTTAAATAAGTAATTCAAAAAAGATGAAAACTTATATATATATATATATATATATATATATATACGTGCACATGAAAGAAACTGAGCTGAGGTGCTTCCGGACATGATCGCTTGCATTGTACCAGCTCACAGCATTTGCTCAGAGGACGATTTGATGGAGAAAAAGCAAGAGGAAGCTTTGAGAACCAGTCTGCATTAAATGTGCTTTCTGACATGTATAATACAAACCATCATCTAGCTGATGATGAGGGAGATGACGTCTTTGCAGCTTGGCCAATGGAAACAGCAGGATGACTTATTGGAAACTTGTTTCGGAGATGGCTGAAAACCAGGGAGGTAAAAGAACAAGAACAAAGAGGAAAATATTATTCTGATTTGGTTTATATCCTTCATTGTGGGTCACAGCCAACAAAAAGACCCCTTGAGTCTTTTTGATACACTGCATCTCCTGCCCAAGAAGCTTTTACTTACCCAGTGATCCGGTCCTGGTATTTTGTCCAACTCAAGGCCGTCTGTTCTGATTGATTCATAACCCTCACACCACAAGACATCAAAGCTGGGCCCAAATCCTCGGATATTTATCTGCAGCTGAAGAAGTGTTCTCAAATGTGCAGTTTCTGGTCATCTGCCACTTCAGTGTGACCCCAAGTGCTGCTTCCGCTATGAGATCACCACTTCTCAGAAGGCATACATCATTCAGGAGACAGACTGGGTCCACACACACACACACACACACATGCAGGCTCCTGCTTCCTAGAGTCACAAAATCAAAATCCCTTTATCTACTTTGCATGTGTGTGATGTCAGGCTTATTGCATTTATTATCTTGACCGATGTCACCGTGGTTCCTGTGACTTCATTCATTCGACTCCTAAATCAATGTCCAAACTGGGATTGTTAAAACAGTCATACTTCCTTGTGCGTAGTTTGAAATGAACCGATGAATAATACATTAAAGTGTCTATTTAAGTATGGGGAAGGGCAAATTTAGTCAAGCGTTTTGTTATTTCAAAATAATGCCAAATCTTTAGGGGTAGCAACATAATTTTAACGAGGGTCTGGCATTCCTTTAAAAAAATGCTAATTGCTCGTCTCCTTTCATGCCAGAGTTTTGAACATCGTATGGTGAGAAATGACAGAATGCCAGGGAATAACTTCCCCACAAAGCCTTTACGAAAAGGTTTGGTTCACAAATCTTTGTTAATGGGTGATTTTCTGAGAAGTTAGTTTACCTCAGGCCTGCTTGAACTGGTATAAAGTACTGACATTTTTTTTTTCTTCGGCTGACAAGTAATGCTTTGGTCTGTATCAGTCATACTTTGTAATTTTCCTGACTAAAACTAAACTTGATCTGATTTTAGAAAGCCACGTATGATTGATATCTTCCTGATACCTTTGTGCTTTTTTAAACATTGTTTTGTCCTTTTTAACTGTCAACCCTTTGATGACATATTATCTTTCTATTTATGAACTATTTGTTTTGTGTTGACAATATCTGTTAATCGCCACCTCATCAAGGTGGAGGAGTTTGTGTGCCTGAATGATCCTAGGAGCTATGCTGTTGGGGGCAATTGCTCTTGGTAGGGTCTCCCAAGGCAGATTAGTCCTACATGACAGGCCAAATAAAGAACGATTCAGAACACTCGTATGGACGCAAAACAGCAAGAAGCTTGATTTGTCTCGCACCATCGTGAGTTACCTGGGCTCCACCCTGGAGCCAGGCCTGGGGGAAGAGCTTGTCAATGAGCACTTGGTGATCGGGCCTTTACCTATGGGGCCTGGTTGGGCTCAGCCCAAATGCGTAACATAGGTTTGCTTTCCTGTGGGTCCACCACCTGCTCAGATGGCAGGAGAAGATGTCCAACAGACCTGGTGGACACAAACATGTTATAAGGGTTTTCTGGGAACACCTGGGAGAATATCCATCAGAAAGATCTTCAACTCACAACTCTGAGCGAACTTTAACCACAGCCTAGCTGAGGGCGGGGTGTTATTGAGACTGAGTGGGCCATGTTCTGAGTCTCCATTCTCAATGTAGTTGCCTTGAGCTGCGGACACAAGGTTGTCTGTGCTTCTCGCAGCAGCAATTCTCAAACTCAATACACCTTGGGTTAGGGTGGCTGCCAAGCTGGAGAAGGAGTCCTATTGGGCTTTGTTGGCTGGTAGGACTCTGGAGGCACCTGAAGGTTATTGGCTGCAGCCCTGGCTGTTGATGAATCAAAAGCTCAGATGTGGAAGGAGTTTGGTGAGGCCTTGGATAGATACTCATTCGGCTCCAAGGAGATTCTGGCAAACCATCAGGTGGCTGAGGTGGTCAAATCAGCACTTTACCAACACTGTGTATAGTGGAGGTAGGGTGCTGTTGACCTAACCAGTCACGTCATTGAGCGGTGGAAAGAATACTTCTCGAACCTTCTCAATCCCATCAGCATGCCTTCCATGGAGGAAGATGAGTCAGGGGACTTGGGCTTTAGTCCATCCATAACCGGGGCTAAGTTCATCGATGTAGTTAAAAAGCTTTGTGGTGGCATGCTCTGGTGGATGAGGCCACCCTGAGTTCCTCAAAGTGGACGTTGATGGGTTATGTTGGTTGACAGACCTTTGCAACATTGCGTGAATAACGGGGGCAGTGCCAATGTGTTTCCTCTTCAAAAAGAGGGATCAGAGGGTGTGCTCCAATAATAGGAGCATCACTCTCCTTAGCCTCCCCTATACAATCGGTGCAAGAGCTTAGTTTGCATTACTGACATAAAGTCAAACCCAATCAGAGAGAGAATTGGACTTGGCCAGGGCTGCCCATTATCACGATTCTGTTCATAACTTTTATGAATAGAATTTCTTGGTGTAGCCAGGGAGTGGAGAGAGTCCGGTTTGGTGGCCTCAGGATTCCATCTCTGCTATTTGCAGGTGATGGGAATGACTTGGAGGAGGCTTTGAAGAGGACCCAACACACACTAGAGAGAATATGTCTCTCTTCTGGCTTGGAAATGCCTTGGAGTCCTCCCAGAAGAGGTGGCTGGAGAAAAGATGTTTGTACCTCCCTGCTCAAGCTGAAGACCCGACAGGAACAAATGGAAGATAATAAATGGATGGCTTTAACATCCTACACAATTATTTTGAAGCTTTTTGTGTTTTTTGTAATGTTGAGCTATAAAATTATCACAGGACTGATTAAACTTTAACTACTAGTTATTTGGTTATGGGCTATACATCACTTTTTACATTGTGTTACTGTCTTTGACCAACAGCTGTCCCTGATGGTGAAAATAATCCCCAGCCCCGACTGGTTTGTCGGTGTGGATAGTCTGAGTCTCTGTGAGGGGAACCACTGGAAACAGGAGGTGACATTTGATCTCCAACCTTATGATGCAGGGACAGATAGTGGATTCACGTTCTCCTCTCCCAACTTCCCCACCAGTCCACCAGAAAACATCACACAGGTATGATCGGTACAAAAAAACATCATCTGTTCAAATCTCCACTTGGATGTTGTTGAAATTTTATGTCTTATTCTTAGAATAAGTAGCATGAAAATGGGACATCATTCATAGGTGGCTCCATTTAAATGATTGCCTGGCAGCCCTCATGTCTGACCTGAAGGGATTTGAGCCTGACCCCTCCCCCGCTCCATCCTTTTCCAGCATGTGTTTTGGAGCTATTGTGATTTTGGCATTCTACTGAGAACCTGCTGGCTTTTCTAACAAAATATTTTTCTGCTGACTTGTTCAGATCACATCTCAGATGCCAAACCACCCAGCCAACTCCTTCTACTACCCTCGACTAAAGGAGCTTCCACCTATTGCCAGCATTAGAATTACCCGACAGCGTAGATTCACTGACCGCCAGAACACTGTGTCTAACCACATTCTGCCCAATTCTATCATTCCTCAGCGCTTTTCAGGTACCTGTGTGTCAAAACTTTTCTTAGAGGAACTAAATAATAAAGTAAGAGTTTAGAAGATTTCTGTAAGATGTGTTTTTCTACCTTCAGTGGATATTAGTGCATGCAACTCTAATCTCTTGAGTGGAACATGCGGAGTACCCCAAGGGTCTATTCTTGGTCCAATACTTTACTCTTTTGTTTAGTTCAGTTTTAAAGAAAATGTAATTCCATTGTTTTGCTGCTGGTTGCCAAGTATATCCTTGGCTCAAAAGGAAGACTGTAATCTCTTTAAAGGTCTTGTCTAGACTTGACTTAGAAGCATAGATAGCCCTGAACTTTTTTAATCTAATGAGCATCTCTTTTCCACAGAAACACCGCTAGACTGTGAAGTCTCTCTCTGGTCATCTTGGGGTCTGTGTTTGGGTCCATGCTCCAGAGGAGGCGTTCGCCATCGCACACGCTACATCCTGTTGCGGCCGGCTAACGCTGGCAGCCCCTGTCCTGAACTAGAGGAACAAGTTGAATGTGTACCACACAACTGTATGAAGAAACACCAGTAACCAACAGTGCTGGAGCTCAAACAAAGCCAGCGTTTTGACGCCGTGACTTTTTTGTTCTCACTGCGAGACTGAGCGAAGGATGCTGCATCTTGACCTCTCTGAAAATGCAGACGGTTGTTTTGTCTTTGTCTCTGTTTAAACTGTGGAACTTAATACTTGTGGTAGAACCATTTATGTGCGTTTTACCAATAAAATACACCTTTGAGTATATTTTAGAGGTAATAAGATGAAACAGGATTTCGCAGGATGAACTAACAGCTAAACGGTTCGTCAGTTGAACAGTTTTTACAATTGCTGGACAATCTTGTTTACAAAAATGTTTAGATATTTTGTACAACATAAATAAACACCAAATACAATAATCTGAAAATTATCTCAATCCTATAATTGCAGGATTAGAAAGTAATGCCATCTTCTGCATAACGACTTTCACCAACTAGTTTTCCTTGAAGGAATGCCCAGAATTTTACACCAAAGTAAAAGCCATTTTGTACTGTTTTATTTTGTGTTTTATTTTGTGTGTTTAATGTTGTGAAGTGTCTTGAAAGGCGCTAACAAATAAAATGCATTATTATTATTATTAAAGTTCAGAAAAAGGATGATCTTATATTAATAAAGAAAAGCGTTAAAGAAGCTTTTGTCAAACCTTGAAAATAATGTTTTAAAGCTCATGCTCAAAGAATATGTTGTGAATGACTCTCAGCTACTACCACAACAAAATTTTAACTCAGTATCTGTAAAATTGATCGAGTTTCAGCTACCTTTGTATTTTTAAAGACCGTTAGCTGTGTGGCAACCATCTTGAATGAGGCTAACTCCAAATCTGTTTTTATATACACTTCCAAGAACTAATTTCTGCAAGTTTTGATAAAATGTGTCCAGTGCTCATGAGATCTATTTCCAACACACAAACAAAATGTGAGTTAAAAAAACTCAACATTTTTGCATTTTCATGATCTGGAGACAATGATAATATGACATCTCTTTTTGCAACATGACAACACGTGTTATAATTATGGAACAGGTCTCAAAGTGATCACCAGCAGAGTTTTTGTGTCTAGAACAAATAAGAAAATCAGAATCACTTTCTAATCTGCAACTTTTTGGCTCAAAAGTATGAGCATGTTAAATTCTTACTAGTTGCTGCTGGCATCAGAACAAAATGATTATTTTTTTAATTTAACAATTATTATATTTAAAAATTTGACATGAAATTTGCATTTTGACTGGAAACAGTGGCACTGCAGAGACTCGTCTCCCACTTTTACATGAACGCACACAGAAAGATTGAAGTCCTTGCACATACTGCATACCGTTACAGGCACAGAGGCATAGTTTACAAAGATAATCTAAACATGTCTGGCATGTAAAACTCTTTCAAAATAACTGTAAGCCCCGTGTCATAAATATCACCTGTCAGAAGAATGGACTAATAAGCTGACTTGAAGCGTGGAGCCTGTTTAGAAGAGCAAGGTGCAGAATTATTTTTAAATTGCAAATAAGTATGTGTTTTCTTTTATTTTGTTTTTTTTATATTTCATTAGGTTTTTGTACATAGCCTATTGTTTGGTGTGTGTGTGTGTGTATATATATATATATATATATATATATATATATATATATATATATATATAATGTTAGGATTTTGTTTTTGTTTTATGTTTTTTCAAATAATAAAAAATAAATTTGTGTTTCATGGATAAATTATCTACTTTTTAAAGTAACTTTCAGTACTAGAGTTGTATGAAACATAACAGATCATAATAAAAAATACAGGTATTTTCACTATCAGTGTATAAAGGGATATAAATCCAGCACCACAGCATACAAAAACAGATTTCACTCAATTATCAAAGATGAACCCAGAATACAAATTTCCTGCCAGTAAAATTAAGTCCACCCTATTCGTTGTAGAATTGCCTTTAACAGTAACAATTCTCAACATTAACTTTATATTCAAACTTTCTATTCTCTTACATGGTTGTGGTAGAATTTGAGCACACTCTTCTTTAAAAGTTGATTCAGTTAATTGGCGTTTGCAAAGATGTATTTCTCTGCAGCTCTCTTAAGGTCCTAGCATTTCAATAAGCATGAGATCTGGACTTTGACTGTTTACCCACACGCCAAAGCTTTTGTTTTCTGGTCATATTATGTTATATATTGTTTCGTATGAAAAGTGAAACATGCCCAAAAATGACCTTTTGACCCAAAATGGCTGATATTCTGTTAGTTTGAAGGCATACCTCCAAGATACTTTTTTTCTTGTTTCAGGGCTATCTACATATGTACTAAATTTCAGCTCTGTATGATGTACCAGTTGTTCTATCTCACGTTGGGATCCAGCACTCTGTGCTGCTTTGGACAAGCATGGCAACAAAAACAAACAACCCACCTCTGTTCTGGTACACAGTGTAACTTCTACCCACTTGAATATTTTGCGCCAAAAATATTAAAGTTCACTTGAATTCCCTGTTCAATTCCAGTCCAGAAAAACACTCATCTCAAAAAACATTCACTATTTATGTCCTTCAGCCATGGGGGACATCAGTGCACCACTTGTTGACTCATCTGTTGACAACCCTTGAGAGGATCTGTGTTTTATTTGTGTTTTCTTGTGTCAACTGTTCAGCCCTCCTACTGTGTCCCCCCTGCAATCAGCTCTAGCTCCTGCCACCATCACCTGTTCCTCATTGTCCCCCACCCCCACCAGGTGTTCGTGATTATTCTGTCATTACCAACAAAGTACATGCTCAAAAATCCAGGTATACAATCCAACAATTTTTAGTCAGGTCATCTGGACAGTTTCTTTTTTTTTTTGTGCTGAAACTTTTCACCTTCCATCCAGAAGGCTTCATTAGTCAAGGAAACACACAACGCCAAAACTGATTCTTACCCACACAGCTTACTCCAAAGTGGAACAAACCAGTTGGTACTAAGATGGTCTCTTTGGCACGCCCGTCGTCCTGTGCCGGCACTTTTTCTTGTCGACGGTCATGTCAAACTGGTTCAAAACCAACAAAGTCCTAATTGTTAGATTGTATACCTGGATTATTGAGCATGGACTTTGTTGGTTTTGAACCAGTTTGGCACGAGTATTGACGAAGAAAAGGGCCGGCACCAGACGAGGGGGCGTACCAAAGAGACCATCTTAGCACCAACATAACTGGTTTGTTCCATTTTAGAGTAAGCTGTTGGGGGAAGAATCAGTTTTCTGTTGAGCGTTTCTTTGACTGATGAAGCCTTCTGGATGAAAGGTGAAATGTCTATAAGTTCTGTTGGTTTGTTTCTTCCCTGTCCGTGGACTGTGCTCCACACAGCCGTTCATGCTCCGTTTACCTCCATGTCTCCTTGTTGCCATGTTTGACGTACACCTTGCTGCCGCTTCAGCCTTTTGTTTTCTTGGTTGAATAAATAGTTTACTTATTTTATCTTTGAGTTCGTCATGTCTGTCTGCACCCTGGTTTCAACTAAACCACAGAACATGATAACCCTCACCCTAGACCTATTACCAGTACGTACCTAAACTTAACCTACACTTAATTCATACTTTAACTCTAAATCTAAGCTCTAACCCAAAAAATAATGTTTCAACATATAAGACCGGGCTTTGGTTCCCATAAGGACTAGTGGTCTTGCTGACAAGACCTGCAGATGGAACTAAACAGGTAAAGTTTTCCTTAATAACCAGAACAGGCTAATTAACTTGGACCAAACCCGACTCCTCTGCTGATTATTGACAGCAGGCTCAGCACTCTGACTGCTTCATACTGATGTGACTCAAACTCAGTTTGTTGGCATTCAAACCATTACAAGGTAAGAACAAAAATCGCAGGACTCGGAGTCCACGATTATACTTTTTTTTGTTTTTTAACTATAATGTACTAAAACTTGGAAACAAAATGATGTAGCTTAAAAATGTATTATATACATTTTGCCACAATAAAAATGTAATAAATTTACATATAAATACCATAAAACCATACTAAATTGAAAGATCTAGTACTAACTGCAGTGCATAAATAAAAAGTTAAAGTGCAGCAGCCAGACATCAGAAGCAGCAGATCACAGATAAATGCTAAAGTGCAGTGTTCAGTGTGTGGGTGAGGAGCCGTTCAGCAACCTGACTGCATCTGCCATTTTTCAGTCTGGAGGTTTATGTCTGGATGCAGCACAGCCTCCTCCCTGAGGGCAGGGGGTGAACAGTCCATGTGCAGGATGGGTGGGGTCACGGAGGATGCAGGTGGCTGTTGTCCTGGGTGGGGTCACAGAGGATGCAGGTGGCTGTTGTCCTGCACCTGGTAGTATAAATGACCCTTAAGCTGCACCCGATGGGTGTCTGAGCAGATTTTACTACCCACTGCTGCACCTCCTCCTCCTCTGCCACAGTGCAGCCTCTGGACCACACCGAGAAGGTGGATGTCAGGATGCTCTCCACCACACAGGTTTAGAAGGATCTGAGGACATCAGCTTGCCCTCTTCAGTTTTCTAAGGAAGGGCTTTCTTAAGGACAGTCGAGTCTGTTGGTGCACCAGGTGAGGGTGTTGGCCAGATGCACTCTGAGGTGCCTGGAAAGGACCAGCTCCACCACTACTACAGCATTGCAGAGGGGAAGGGGGGCAGCACCAGCCCTGCGGAAATCAAAGACTATCTCCTTGGTTTTCTGGAGGCTGAGGATGAGATTGATGTCCCTGTACCAGAACATCAGATCCTCCACCTTACGCCTGTAGATGAATAGATAGATACTTTATTAATACATGTGTGTGTGTGTGTGGGGGGGGGGGGGGGGGGGGGTGTATGATTTGAGGCTTCCAGTAGCATGTTCTAATTATACAGAAAAAAGACAAATATGAAATAATCAAAAAAGAAGCAGAATACACAAACTTCACCACTAGGTTCTGGTGAGCTCTGAAGTTGTTGTACTGAGGGTGAAGAGCAGTGGGCTGAGCACGCAGCCCTGTGGTGAGCCAGTGTTCATGACAATGATGGAGGAGGTGTTGTTGATCCTGACACTGTGACCTACAGGTC